ACTTTTAAAAGATTTATTTATTTATTTATTTGACAGAGTAAGAGCAGGAGAGCAAGAAAGAGGTAGAGAGAAAGATAGAGATCTTCCATCTACTGGTTCACTCCCTAGATGGCCATGGTTGAGACTGCTCCAGGTCAAAGCTAGGAGCCCAGAACTCCATCCCAGTCTCCCACAGGGTAGCAGGGACCCAAGAACTTGGGCCATTTTCTGCTGCCTTCTCAGGTGCATTAGAGAGCTGTATAGGAAGTGGAGCAACTGGGATTCAAACCATTGCTCTGATAGGGGATGCCAGTGTGGTAAGCAGTGGCTTAACCCACTATGCCATAACACCAGTCCCCAAATAAGTATTTTTAATAGGGACTGAAATTGTGATAGTTCAGATCTTCCAACATTTAGGAACTGAAACACTTGTTCACTGTTACCTTGAGAGTTTTACTTGATTTCCTTGTAAATTTCTTTTGTTGGAATCCTGATTTTATTTGTAATCATTTGAAGGTTGTATTCTCTGTTTGCTATAGTGGGAAGAGCTTGGAATGGCTAACAAAGTAAGGGGTGGGCATTTGGCTTAGAAATTAAGATGTTTTTCATTCAGATAACTGTGTCCAAATCTGAGTGCCTGGGTTTGATACCCACCTGGTTTAGGGAGCTGACTGCAGCTTCTTGCTAAGAAGCCAGTGATCTTCAACTGTCTACCCCAGTGGGTAGCAATGATGACCCAAGTGATTGGATTCCTGCGGCTCTTTCGGGAGATGTGAATTGAGTTCCTTGCTTTGACCCCTGGCTCAGCCCAGAGCCACTGTAGGCATCTGTGGAGTGAACCAGCTGATGGCAGCGTAGTCTTGTCTTTCTCCCTCTGCCTCCCAAATAATTTTTTTAAGTTAAAAACTAATTAATTATGAATGAGTCTAGACATTTTAGATTTTATGTTTATTTTTATTTTGCTAACCTTGATATTGGAAGAGTATTAGCAAGACTGATTCAACTTATAAATTACCCTTCTCTTATCTCATTCATTTATTTAACAGCAATTAAGTATCTGCTATGTGCCTGCTGTGCTGACTCTACGGTCTTTATAGTAGAAAGAAATACACTTATAAGTGGGAACATAAATACTTGTAAATGGGAATATAAATAACCCTAACTCTAACCCTATTCCTATCTAGAATGAATAAACTCTTTAATGTTCATGAGCATTTTGTTGAAAATTTAAGTAAATAATCAATGAATAGCCTCCTTTTTAGGAAGGGATATTGTGGGAATTATAAGAATTTGAGACCAAGTGAAGGGCTATGTGCTGCATTGAACCTGTAGAGAAAGACAACAACAACAGAATACCCATCTATTCATATTGTAAGTGTAGAATTCACTTAGGAAGCCTTGTTTCTACCAAAGAACTGCATATACCAGTAACAAGAACTTCTGTTTGGCCACTCCTTTTATTTGGGAGTAAAATAACTTTGGTGCTAGAGTTATCTCATGCCCCAGACGGACTAAAGTGAGACTGTTTAAGGAAGTGCTGATTCTGAGCCCTGAGATAGAAAGAGTGTAGCTCTTTAAATGAGCACACTCTAGTTGGTAGAGCAGGGTACCGATACACCAAGTCTTAGAGTTTGGCAGTAGAATGGCAGGGGCTTTTTTTTCTTTTTGCCTTCTCACTCTAACCAAGCAATAATAGTCGTCAGCCCAAGAAGATATTTAAAGCTGATTCATCTTGTGTTAGAAGTTAGCAGTGCTGTTTTGAATATCTTTAAGGAAATAAGGGAAAAAGTATAAAATGAGAAGGTTTCTTGTAATCTATTTTGAGTTCCCAAAATCACAAGGGGTGTTTGAAGAAAATTTTGTTTACAAGTTTATGTTTAAGATCTTGTCATCTCCAGTTCTGGTTCTCTGTCTCTTTTTGATTCTGTGGATGCTAATTGATCAAACACAAATCTTGCTTTGAACTGTAAAATTTTCTCCCAAAGCAACACATCTGAAATGAAGATAAAGTGGTTCTTGCTATTGTTGTCACCATAACAGTCTCTCACATTTTCACTGCTTATTTTTAGCTAGAAATTGACCAGGGGAAAGTCACTGCACCCTTTTTGTACTTTGGTTTTTACTGTAGATATGGGGTGGATGAGATCACTTTTTAAGGCCCTTGGAGCCAGTGATCTTCAACTGTCTTCATCTGCATGATCAACACTCATCCCAGAACCCAGTATACTGAAAAGGCTGAAACTTTGCTAATGTGCCACTAAATTGAAAGGGAGGGATCCTGTCAAAGGGGAAGGTAAGGCCTCACATCTCACTCAGCTCATCTGATCCTTGTTGAACCATTTCAACTTAAAATACAACTGGAAAGAATGACAGAAACATATTTTAACTTACAGTTGAATCAAAACTGGGAGAATAATTCAATATTTAAAATTCTTATTGGTAGTGTTGACTTTAATGTCCTGTAAATGCTATTGAAGTAGTGAGTACCTTCCTAAACTAGGATTGTGATTGTGTTTTCTCCAGTGTTGAGTTCTAAATTGACTAATTGGAGCATTTTCCATAGAAACAATATTAGAAGGTAGTTCTATGTGGTATTGACCAGCCACCTACTATTAGCTTATAATGCTGTTAAAATACTGTTCTTTTTGATGACAAAGGACAGCTGATAGTACTATAAAATAAGTCTTAGAGGAGAGATTTATAAAATGCAACTTTAAAAAAGTTCAATGTATTTATAAAAGGTAAAAATTAAGTATTTGAACAAGTTTGTTGGCGTATCTAGGTAGAGATGTCATCAAGAATTCTGAAAGTGACTAGCCACTTAACTGTCAGCTTTTGTATCTGCAGTGATGTGCATGTGTGTTTAAAAGAATAAAAAACAAAAAGTGATTCCATTGTGCCTGCTATCCCTATTAGTATTTCATTTATTATTGTCCATGTTCAACAGCATTTACAAATTTTGGCCACCTTCTCTTTGAAACTCCTATTTTTTTTGTGATGCTGATTCTCTCTCCCAATTCTCCCATAGCAATCAAAAGTTTTCATTTTCTGTTTTCCCTTATTAAGATACTTTTTTCTGTAATTGAATGAGGTAGCTGTTAAAGTTCTGTTGCTAGTCCTTGTTTTGCTGTATCTCATTTGCATTTTCATTGATAATATGTCTTCTGCTCTTCATACTCTACAGTCATTCCATCCTTTTCATTTTGACTGGCATCACTGCATTTTAGCTCCTCTCTTTGTTCAAATTTATTATGGAATAGTATTTTCAGTTCATTTCTAGGTGGAAAAGTGGATCACCAAGAGTCATATTAATTAGTGAAATAGGAACAACAGGACACCAGTTAATATGAGTATGTAGCTATTTCCTCTTCATGATTATTCCAGCCTTGTTTGACTCTTACAGTGATATATCAGGTCACTGCCTTCAGTTTCTCTTCCATTGTCCCTTTGACCAAAGCATGTACTTACATCGGATCAAGTAATGATTTTCTCTTGCCCTATAGAATAAAATTTAAGAATTGGCTTTTTGTTGTTTTGAGAAGTGTGGGAGCAATTTTCAGCTCAGACACAAACAAAACCTCTCCATGAAAGGCAGAGTATAACAGAATGAGAGATGGAGAGACTGAGAGTGAAAGAGATCTTCCATCTGCTGGTTCACTCACCAAATGGCCACAATGGCCAGGACTGGGGCAGGCCAGGGCCTGGAGCCAGGAACTCTATCCTGGTTTCTCACATCTTCCTCTGCCTTCCCATATGGATTAGCAGGAAGCTGGAAGGGAACCTGAGAAGCTGGATTCAAACCGGGGCTTCAAAATGGAATGCTGACTTAACCTATTGCACCACAAAGCTCATACATCTATTAGTGAAAAAATAACTCCCAAATACTTTATTGGGGAAGTGGTGATGGTGGGTGGGGTTTGTGGGACTTATTTTTATTTCCACTTTAAACTTGGTTTTGTGATGTGAGGTTGTCTAATGTAGAGTTAAAGTCCTGAGATCAAGTTTTAGATCTCTGCATGTGTGATCTTAGGCAAGTTATTTATAATCTGAGCCTGCTTTCGAATCTGTAAAAATGAAGTTATAGCTGTAAAGTAAGTTACTGTGAGGACCAACTTCATGTAAAAATTATTTTATGTATGAAAATGCTTTTTAAGTAGTATTAAATTTTCAGTATTAATGAATTTGTTTAATACAGATTTGCCACTACTAATACTCTTTCACTTCATGACTGGGGATATTTTTTACCTTGGCAAAGGAAATAAGTAGTTGTATTTTGAAAAGGAGCATATTTCTAAAACTCTCAAAACAATGTCTTGATATTGTTGAATTCTTGATTTGAACCCAAAACTTTGAGCATCTGTAAGCTTTTTTTTCTCTCTCACTTTTTTTTTTCTAAAGATTTATTTATTTATTTATTTGAAAGAGTTACACATTGAAGGAGAGGCAGAGAGAGAGAGAGAGAAAGAGAGAGAGAGAAAGGGAGAGGGGTCTTCCATCTGCTGATTCAATCCCCAAGATGGCTGCAACAGCCGGAGCTGCGCCGATCCGAAGCCAGGAGCCAGGAGCTTCCTCCAGGTCTCCCACGCAGGTGCAGGGGCCCAAAGGCTTGGGCCATCTTCTACTGCTTTCCCAGGCCATAGCAGAGAGCTGGATGGGAAGTGGAGCAGCTGGGACTAGAACCGGCGCCCATATGGGATGCTGGTGCTTCAGGCCAAGACGTTAACCCGCTGTGCCACAGTGCCGACCCCCATAGAGAACTGTTAAGTTCAAGTTAAAGCAGTTCTTGAATCACTGCTTTGTGAAGTAGTACCTAACCAGGGGAAGGTAAGCAGTGGGAAGAGGCAATATTTGAGTTTGTGGAGGAAAAGCTAGATGTCTTATTGAGCAGGGTTCAGGTAAAATATACTAATAAATGAGTTTTCCATAAATTAGGACGTCTATAATTTGGAGAGGAAAATTATTGATTTTTATTGTTTTTCCTTAATATAGTTAATTGCTGTCTTCTGTTCCTCCTTCACTAGGTCAGTGTATGTTTTGTTCCCCATTTCACACCAAGAGAGAAAAGAAACACTGCAGTGAATGAAGATTCCTCTGCATTTTAGCACTGCTTTTTCTACTGTAGTTGGCTTTTGAATGAGGATGACAATGGAAGAGATGAAGAATGAAGCTGAGACCACTTCCATGGTTTCTATGCCTCTCTATGCAGTTATGTATCCTGTGTTTAATGAGGTAAGTGAATAAACATTGCCACATGTGATCTGTGCAATTCCTGAATGCCTGCATCACTGCATCATTTATTGCTTGTTTATCCTTTCACATATAAAATACTTGGATAAATGAACTACATCTATGTGCTAGGCATTATGTCAGGGCATAATACAGTGAAAACCACACCAAACAAATATATGACTCCCTTCTAAAGGTTGCATCATAGTGGGAGAGTTGGTCATTGAATGAAAGCACAAATAAATCAAAAATTGTTGTAAGTACAATGAAGTCCAAAAAAATGTTAACTAAGAAAAAAATAGCAGGACATTTTAGGAGTCAGGACAGGCTTTTTGAAGAAGAAACCTATATGGTAAGATCTGAAAGAGAGAAATAAGAGACAGTTGAAGAATAGGAGGTAATTACATTCAAGGTAGGTAGCTAGCAGGAATAGGCAGGAAAATCCTATTAAGCGTTTTTGTTATTTCTGTTTAGAAGATACCATTGCTCAGTATCTGGAGAAGATGTGGTTGCTTTTGTGATGGAGGAATTGTCTTGGACCTAATGTCAGTACATTTTAGATTTTTCTTTTAAATTAATTTATCAAGGTATGTAGTGGATTCTGGAGCTAGAAAGCACTTGGAGATCATTTAATTAATCCCTCTCTCTCTAATGGTGAAGCCCTAAAATTGAAATTATTTCCTAAAATTACCCAAATCTGAAATCATCTGTAGATCATTTGACTAGAAATTCAGGGGATTTAGCCTTTTTTGTTTAATAATTACTTTTCCTTGCTACTTTAGTATAATCTAATTAGCTTTCAGTATCATTAACCTTATTCCTATTATGGCTGCAAGCCCTCATCATTTCTAATTTTTTATCCTCTTTTGTAAAATATTTTTATTAGAGCAAGATTTGAGATTTCAGAACCATTTTTCCCACATTATTGGATTTGTAGTTGATACTTGTTATGATCATAAGTCTTGGCATCAGAATGATATATTTATCCACTTCACTATGAAAACTACAGATCTAGTTCCCAGTTTAGATATACATTTTGGAATTTTTGACATTTAAATAGTGTTAGGTTTGATGATCACAAAGGAAAATTAAAAATGGTGGCTCTGTAACATAACAAGGAAGATTCTAGAGCCAAGTGCTCCAGGGCTAGTATTACCATGATTCAATATCATTAGAAACTTAGATTCTTATCTGTTCCATGGTACTGTTCTTCAGCTTCCATTATCAAGGTCACCTCACCACACAGGGTAATTGCTGATGCTCCATCATCATCATCATCATCATGTCCTGAACTATCTCATCTGGAAGGGTAGAAAGTGTAACAGAGTGTGGGATTCTGTTTCCAACTGAGTTCACTTCTTTAAAATACTCCTTTTGAAAGGAACTCTATTTACATCTCATTTGCATGATCTTAGGCTCATGACTAAACTTAGCTGTATAGGCAGTAGGGCAGTTTAGGAGTGTTGCAGCGTCTTTTGAAAACCCTGTTCTTGTTCTGTAGCTACCACGTTAGTATTGGAGGCACTCCTTTAGTACCTATCTATGGTAGCTGTAGCCAACACTTTAGGGAATAATTCCACTAGTTTTGTTCTGATATTTTATTTGTGTTTTGCAAGTAGCTATAACTAGAAGCAGGTGCTTCAGTTCTCAGTATTTACTTGCAAATACTCTGTTAGAGTCTGGAGGTATGAACAAGAAAAAAAAAAACAGCATGTCTGTTCTCATGACTATTAGGGAACAAAGATATTTAAGCAAACTAATTATTTAATTATTTTTGTAGCAACAATGAGGTAAGCAGATAGTCGCTGAAAACTGATGAGTGACCTATCTTGATGATAATTAGAGTTTGAACTTCCTAGATACTCTAAGAACTATTATCGCATTTTTACCCTGAAGTACTCCAGCTTCACGTCTATGTACCTGACTTGGGCTGTTGGGCAAAATTGTTGGGGAGAATTTTCTGTATTTATATGATATTTTGAGTCTTTACTTGGAAGGAGAAAAATTTACATGTAAATCTTCACTTTGAACTCCTAGTAAATGAAAAAAACTATTATTCTAGCAATTTGAGTGGTCTTTCTGTAGATAGAAAAAATGGCTATTATTTGAATCTTGACTTTGCAAAAGAGTTCTGTGGCATTCTGGAAAAATGAAATTTGTAATAATATTGATAAACTTTTTCTTATTTTATTTAAGTGTAAGGGACATTAACTTGAAATAAAAAGAAGTTGTTACAAATGGACCAGTAATCTCTTCTGTAAATAATGACAGTGATTCTCTTCCAATGAGATCTGAAAACATACAAGAGTACTTCACAAAGTTCACAGAAAATCAAATTAAAATATATTTATTTTGTTGTAAAAATTTTTGAGATCTCTGCCTGTGAAGGATCATCAAAAAGATATGGAAAAATTCCAATTATGAATAAATTATGCATAGATTTAAAAAGTTTTTTGAATATAGATTTATCAAATTTCCTATGAAGCTTTTGAAGTATTTTCCTGTATAGATTAATGGACCCAGAATTAGCAAGCATTGCTACATCTGAGAGCTATTTGTAAGATGTTAAGTTTGAGAACGAAATGACTGAAAGTGACAGGCTGAGATACACTGCAGCAAATCGTCATGTCTGAAACTCAAATTGAATTTGCTGATTTGACATCACATTATCAAACTTTAAAAAAAATTATTTCTGTTGTGGTGTATTCAAACATGTTCAGAACTGTAGAGGTTTAGGCATAGTAAATGCCTAGGTCTTCATTTAGGAATGGGATAAGTAATTATTGTACCTTCAAGTGTGAAGTGTTTAGTTACAAACTACCTCATTCCATTCTAGCATTGTTCTCTGTTCATTCCAATGTGTGATTGTATTATGCAAATAAGATACCTGAACAACTAAATATTAATATCTAACTGTGATTCATTCATGAATTTCTCTGTAAATGTACTAATGGGGAAATTCTAGCTTAGTTTGGCTCTATTTTACTGTGCTGTTCAGATTTAAAGATAAAATCGATTGTCAAATTAACCTACCTGAAAATAATAGTACCACAGTGAGGAAGAATGTTGTATTCTGAAGCTAAATGATTCACTAAATCTTGTCTATAACGTATTGTAAGAATTAAAAAGATTATTCTTTTATTCTTTGTTTTTAGATCTATAATAGCTACCATGGTAGTCCAGAAATGTCTTTTTAAAGGATTTTTAGCTAGTAAGACATCCTTAAAACTGGCAAAATTTTAGTACTGTTATTCCAGCTTACAAGGCAAAGTTATTTATGGAATTCTGGGAGCTTGATGCTTGGCTAGATTTAATAAAGCTACGCCAGACAGCTGAGAAGGAGTAGACTTCTTGTTTAATCAGCTGCTGTGGAGTTCAGAGTCCAAGTATATTGGTTGTGTTGTAAATTACAGTGAAATAGGTCGTCTTCTTGCATAATGGGATGGACGCTTTCTAGAAACATGCCAAGTCTTAGATCACATTCTCATGTAGCTATTATTGCTTACTGATTCTTCATATACGAAGGAGAGAGCTGTGATTCAGTTCTTCATTCCAAGAGAAGTTAAACTGGGAGTCTTTTTGTATGACCTTTTAGAGGAATTGTTTTAAGATGAAATACGGTTTCTGAAGCAAGATTTGTCATGTTTTCAGAAATAAATAATTTGGGAACTAAAGATCACACAAAAGTATACTTCTGAATAAATAGTATCCTTGCATGCAGAAGCATCTAATTGACTCTTGGCAGATATGCAGCTTGTAACTATTCTTAGTAAACAATGATACCTGGTAATATTTCTCCAGCTTTACCTAATTAACTTTTTTTTGTTTGTTTTTCTGTTGAAAAACAATCAGACCTCAAACTTTGACTTTTATAAACGTGCTTCACAATGTAATCCCATCATCCAGATATGATCGTAGTTAGCATCTTATATTTGTTTTTTTTTTAAAGATTTTTATTTATTTATTTGACAGGTAAAGTTACAGACAGTGAGAGAGACAGAGAGAAAGGTCTTCCTTCCGTTGGTTCACCCCTCCAAATGGCTGCAAAGGCTTGAGCTATGCCGATCCGAAGACAGGAGCCAGGTGCCTCCTCCCGGTCTCCCATGCGGGTGCAGGGCCCAAGCACTTGGGCCATCCTCCTCTGCCTTCCCAGGCCACAGCAGAGAGCTGGACTGGAAGAGGAGCAACTGGGACTAGAACCGGCACCCATATGGAATGCTGGCACCACAGGCAGAGGATTAACCTAGAGCGCCATGGCACTGGCCCTAGCATTTTATACTTGAATTACTGCTCTCCACCCACTAGGCTGAATAACCTTGTCTCTGTTGCTTATCTGTAAAGTGCACATGAACAATAGTATACTAATTTTCACAGCTCTGAAATAAATGAGTTAAGGTATTATAAAATGTTTAGCATAGTACTGGGTACACAGTAAGTGTTAGAGTCTTTCACGTATATTTTCTGACACAATTTGTTATCAGACCATAGAAATTGGTATGCTTGCAAGCAATGTTTTAATGGAATGTTTTTAGACTAGTTAGGTGGCTCTGCTTACCTTTTTCCTTTTTTTTTTTTCCAGACAGCTTAGCAGTCCCAAGAACTGACTCTTTGAGAAACATTTGTGAACTTAGTATGTTCACAACACAGCCAATTTGCTTTCTCTGTGGCAGTTAAAAAGCAAGTGGGCAGTCCCTTTCACCTATACTTCTGTTCCTCTGACATACGTACTTTTCTACCTAATGCACTTCATTCTTATTTGTATCATAGGAGATGTAGTTGGCGTTTACGTTATTGTGACTTGGTCCAGTTTAATTTCTTTTAAGAAACAGGATCGGGGTCGGCATTGTGGCGCAGCGGGTTAATGCCCTGGCCTGAAGTGCTGGCATCCCATATGGATGCCTGTTCCAGTCCTTGCTGCTCCACTTCCCATCCAGCTCTCTGCTATGGCCTGGGAGAACACTGGAAGATGGCCCAAGTCCTTGGGCCCCTGCACCTGTGTGGGAGACCTGGAAGAGGCTCCTGGCTCCTGGCTTCAGATTGGTGCAGTTCCGGCCGTTGTGGCTAGTTGGGGAGTGAACCATGGGATGGAAGACCTCTCTCTCTCTGCCTCTCCTCTCTCTGTGTAACTCTGACTCTCAAGTAATAAATAAATAAATCTTATACAAACAAAAAAAAAGGAAACAGGATCTGTAATCTTTGTGAAGAGGGTATAGAGACAGGATTATCAACATGGGAATATCACATCTTACCTAACTTTGAAAAAACAGGTGGATTTGTAGACAATTCAGAACCAGTTAAGCTTATTATTTTGACCTTTAAAAAGACACAAGATTTTATGAAAGACTCTTTCAAACTTGAGCAAAAGACAAAGTGGATTTTTTTTTTAGTTGCGGATTTAGGACACTAGCTTGATGCTAGAAAAGTGTAAGAATGAACTGATATTTCCAGAAGAAGCAATTTATTAAATAAGATCTCTGTGGATTAGAAATTAATGTGTGAGCTTTTAAAATATTTTCACAAATCAACCAAAGAATGTAAATTAGAGAAGTTTGCAGTTGATATTAAGTGCTATCAAAAACTGCAAAGAATAGAAACAGTTTATGAGCCAAAGGAGTTCATAAAACTGAGTAGGCAGTATGTGGAACTGAGGCAAAACCTAATGTTAGCTTCCTCCAATCTGTCTGTTCTTTCCAAATGTGTGTCAGCAGATACTTTTCCTTCTTGGTGGGATGAGATGTTATGCTTTTCACTCATTCTGGTTTTCTTTCCCTCTTTTACCGGTGACAAGGAAGTCAGATATGTATGAGGCCCAAGCATTATCTGTCCCTGTCTTGACATCCATTAACGTAAAATGTGGTTGTATGTTTCTTTTCTCTTAGACCCAAAATATGGATTATGAGCTATCAATAACTTGAGAAAAATTACTGCATTGGTTCTTTAAAGATACCCTAGCCAAAAAAAAAAAAAAAAAAAAAAAAGGCACTGAACTCAGTTAAAAGTACTAGATACAAAATGGAAATGCTTAGGTTTCCCTAACGTAGACATAATCATCACGTCCCCATGTGTTACAGAGCCCCAAAGAAACCTCACAATGGGAAAAATTCCAAGAAAGGTATTCCCATGAGGCCAGGCCCTACTATTTAAAGACCAGCTCAGACACTGAGGCAAAAAAAATGTCCTACATGAAGGATCTCTGTGAGTGAGACTCCAGTGGAAAGAAATGGCCATCAAAGGATGTACTTTTCTCTGAAGGGAAGAGAGAACTTCCCTCTTGCTAATGGCCTTGTCTAAATACTGACAGAGATTGTGGATTCAAAAGGCTTACATAGCCATGGCAGCTCATGTTAAGAGCCTCGGTGATCACTGATGTCATACATAACAGTGTTAATTGTTAAATTAACAGCAGGAGTCACTGTGCACTTACTTTCCATGCAAGAGCCCTGTCCTCAGTGAGTTGTATTATGAGAATTAACTGTAAAACTTGTTATCAAACAGTATTTTTGAGTGTTTGTGTGTGTGAAAAAATGTTGAAATCTTTACTTAGTATAGAGTTGGTCTTCTGTGTATAAAGTTAATTGAAAATGAATCTTAATGGAGAATGGGACTGGGAATGGGAGAGGGAGGAGAGGGTGGGAGTCGGGATGGGAGGGCAGGTATGGTGGGAAGAATCACTATAATCCTAAAGTTGTACTTATAAAATTTGTACTCCTTAAATAAAAGGTTTCTTGGGGGGAGGGGGGGGGAATGACCAGTTCAAATCCCATCATTATAAAGACTTTGTACTTCAGTTGAGTGTGATCTAGTCACTTCATATAACTGCTTATTTAAGCTGATCTTCTGGGGGTCCAGAACTATAGGGTATATCTTTGTATCTCTTTGCTATCCCATCTTTGCATTTGGTAAAAAGAATGTGTTGGTTTAAGAGACTCAGTGATAGAGTAGACTGCAGTCTGCAAAGAGAGTATGAGAAGTCTTCAAAGGGTTCATGGAAAGGCATATTATGCAAAAACTATGGGTTTGTAAATTTTTTGCACCAAAATAAGCTTTTTAAGTTTCATTTTGCTGTTAACTGTGAAATTCTCACATGTTAGGGAGTCAGGTTGGAATTAGTGACTTGTAGCAGGTTTTGGAGCTGCAAATCTGGTATGAATCCTGAATCTGTACTAGCTTTTTAACATTGGATACTTTTATACAAACTAACTTTCTCTGTGAAATGAAGATGATGATAGCTAGTTACAGATTTATTTTGAGGATTGGAGATGTTATATTTTTGTATAAGCTTAAATCCATTGTAAGTGCTTAGTAAATCATAGTTGTTACAATGTTATTATCGGAACTTGCTACTGTCATAAAAACCCTTGGTAAGATGGACATGTACATGATTTTTATGAAATCATTTGTCACAAATGAGGGGCCTGAAAGAAAAGCAGTTTATAGTAGGAGAGGAGGTAACATATTTGCTCCTAAGTAAGACAGACTAAAATTACGCATTAATATCAGAATGCTTTAGATTAGTTTATGAATGAGGGATTTGCTTCATTTGAAACAATATGTAAGTGCCTATATGCCTGACACTGTCCTGGATGGTGTGGGTACCATATAATTAAGAAAGCCTGTGGAGTTTATGCAAGGTGTATGTGTATAAAATATTTCCCAGTATGATTCTCAGCAGAGTTCTGGTGAGGTCCTTCATAGTTCAAAGGTCTAGACTTCTGTTGCTTTCCCCTTTTTTGTAAGGTACACACATGCAAACTTAATCTAGAAATCTAGAGATATTGATGTCTGTCTTGGATCATTTTATTAGCTCTTTATTAAGTTTTTTACACCTCTTTTATTTGCCTTGCCCCTTTTACATACCAGTCAGGGCAGTACAGAATGAATTAATAATACTGATAATTGAAGGCATACATCTGACTCAGACCTTGGTTAAGAGGTCAGTGTGGTCTAAACCCAAATAAGGAAATGGTTTCCTCTCAGGATGAACACTCATCTTGTCTCTCTGCCACTGCCTGCTTTGTACAACCAAAAAATGGAGATCTGATGAGCCATGTTGTTATTTTAATCTTAAATAGTATTCATTGTAATTATATGAACTATGTGGAAGTAGAAAACCTTTTTCATTTCTGGAAACATCCTTTGTCAATTTGTTTTTTTAAGATTTTTTTTTATTGAAAAGTAGAATTACAGAGAGAGGGAGAGAGATTTTCTATCCACTAGTTCATTCCCCAAATGGCTTCAGTGGCCTGCTAGAGCTGGGCTAAGTCAAAGCCAGGAGCATAGATTGATCCAGGTCACTAACATGGTGGCAGGGACTCAAGCACTTGAGCCATCCTCCACTGCTTTCCCAGGAGCGTTAGCAAGGGAGCTGGGTCAGAAGTGGAGCAGTTGGGATTTGAAAATCAGTACCCATATCAGGTACTGGTGTCAAAGGCAGTGGCTTAACCCACTGCTCCCTAATGCCTGCTCCCATACTTTGTAAAATTTGTAAACTATGTAGCTGTATTTGCTTTTTGAGTCTTTTTGTGCCTTCCTTCTTACTACTGAGGCAATATTAGCTTTTATAAGATTTTTAGAAGCCATGTTAATTGCTAACCGGAATGGTTTTGTTGTTTTGGGGGAAATAAATTATTTTGGCAGATTTTGTTGCTTGTGCTTTGTGCTTAAGGTAAATAGTTGGTAGGGTGATGTGGTTCTTGTTATTTCTGTGTTGTTCAGAAGATAATTGATTTAAGATGTGCACGTGTGTTTGTGTGAAATTTATTAAGTAGAACTTGGACTTTCATTACTGATAGGATTGAAGGGCGGCTATTTGTTGCATAGTACAAAATATGTTCATAACATTTTGTTGCATGAAATCTATATAGATTATATTATTTTTCAATCTTTCTTATTATCCCAGGTAAAAAAATATATATATACATGGTTGAGTTTTACTGAGTTGATTAACCCAATTTTTAGGATTGTGGAAATCTGAATTTAACTAAAGCTAGTTATTCTGCCAGTGAACTCTACAATGAGTAGAGTTATTTTTATGAAATTCTATGTGTTCTCTGATTCACTGAAAAATGAATTGTATAAGCTCTTTTATAGGAACATAAGTCTTTCGAAATTGTAAACCTCACATATTTATACATGATGTAAAAATAAAACACTTGGATTGAACATTTGGTTCAGTGTTTTATATAACCGTTTCCTAATCGTAATGAAATAAAGGACAGATATAAGCTTCTCTGAAATCCAGAGGATCCATAGTTTTCAACTGAGTATCAAACTTATTAATTAAAAAGACTAAACTCCATTTTATCCCTGGTTGAGAAACTGAACAGCAATTAGAAAGGAGTAAGGTGATAAATAGGAAGCCTACATAGCAAATGTTTTCATGGTATTGATCATTTAACATCCAGTACACATGCATAAACACACACATGTAACACACACACAAACACACATACTTGACATGTATTTGCCCAACAAAACTGCAGCTGTGTCAACGTTGAGAACCTAACTTTAAGCCTCCCTATTTAATAATTCAAGTAAATATATTTATTATTTTTTAATGACAAGATATTTTTCATTCTGCACTTAGATGTAATTGTAAGGTAAGAGTGTAACTGACTTTAAAGACTAAAATAACTGAATACATAATTTTTCATGGTTTCCATTGAAAATTTTAGGTAACCTATTTGAAGAATTATTGATGATTTACCATTATTAATAGATGCTTTTGTTCACTGGATGATAGAAACATCAGTATGATTACTACAGAGTAGAATATGAGAAATGTGCTTTTCTCTAGAAAATTCATATTACTAATTTTAAATTTTTATTGCAGCTAGAACGAGTAAATCTGTCTGCAGCTCAGACACTGAGAGCTGCTTTCATTAAGGTAAGGTGCAAATAATTTATTATGACAATTAAAGTATTTTTATATAAATGTGAATACCTTGTAGTTGCAAACTTATATTCTTTTAGTGAAAACTTTTTAGCTACCTTACTCCATAAAACTTAAAACACTTTGAAAAGGTGAGCTAGAACAAATGCTGTTTTCTTAGCATTCATCTCCTCAGTCCTTTGTGCTGTTGAAACTAACTTCTGAATTAAGAGTGCTACCCTCTTGTTTGCTTTAGGGCATATTTTTGAATTCTTTCTGCCTATTATTTGACTTGTTGAAAACTAACTGGTAAACACATGTCTTGAAAAGATGTTTTTCATATTGCTTAATTATCAAACATAATGTTTTTAGGAGGGAAAATAATACCTGTTTGTGTGACAGAGTTTTTTCATTGCCTTTGGACCTGAGCTTTCAGTCGATTATCACTAGCCACATGTTGCAGTTGAGCACATAAATATGACTAGTTCAAATTGAGATGTGTTTTAAGTATAAAATACTCACCAATTTTGATGACTTCATATAAGAAGAATATAAGTTGTTTTAGTAAGAAGCATTTTCAATTAATTCAGTATTTCTGAGATGATAGCATTTTGGTGGCACTATTAAAATAATTTCACTGCTTTTTGTCTTTTTTAATGGTCCCACTAAAAAACTGAAGTACATAGGCGGCTCATTTTTGTGACCCACATAGTATTTGTATTGAATATGTCTACTCTAGAGAACTTAGTGTAAAATTGTGTGCTCTTTTGTATAAAACTTTATCCATGACTCCCTCCTCAAATATATATAAATATGCCCAAAATTTTAATATTTACTTGGCATTTATTCTTGTCAGTAATTTCTTATTTTTCAGGAAAAAATATGTAATGTTTAAATGTAGATTAAATTTATAGTTAAGTTTTATTGGAATTGAAATTATAAGTCCATTCAGTTTGATTTCTTCTTATGGCGAAAAGGATTAGTTTGTTAACACTACTTCTTTAATGTAGCATGAGTAATGTCATTGGACATCTCACAGCAACACAAGAATTTAAATTGTGTATGTTAGAGTAGAGCAATTTTTTTTTATTTATTTATTTGACAGGTAGAATTACAGACAGTGAGAGGGAGAGACAGAGAGAAAGGTCTTCCTTCCGTTGGTTCACCCCCCAAATGGCCGCTACAGCTGGAGCTACTCCAATCCAAAGCCAGGAGCCAGGTGCTTCTCCTGGTCTCCCATGGGGGTGCAGGGCCCAAGCACTTGGGCCATCCTCCACTGCCTTCCCGGGCCACAGCAGAGAGCTGGACTGGAAGAGGAGCAGCTGGGACTAGAACCCAGTGCCCATATGGGATGCTGGTGCAGCTCAGGATTAACCAAGTGAGCCATGGCGCTGGCCCCAGAATAGAGCAATTTTGATGTGTCTAATAATTTGTGGTACAGTGTATGTTTACGTATATATACTAACCATTAAAAAACTTCCTGCCAAAGCTTCTTATAGAAGTAAAAAATAAAATAATACTTATTAGAGGCTGAGAAGGAGGAGAGGAAGATAGAGGTGATTAATGGGTACAGGGATTTAGATAAAAGAAATAACTTGTATTGTTCTATGGCATAGTACATTAACTGTGGTTGACAATTAATTCTATGATTCAAAATAGCAGAGAGGATTTTGACTGTTTCCAACAAAACAAAGAAATGATAAATATTTGAAGTTAGAATTAGACCAATTAACCCTGATGTGATTATTAAACATTGCATACTTCTTTTGAAATGTATTATACCCAACAATTATTATTATGTGTTGATTAAAAGTTTAAAAAAATAAAGAAAACAAAATACATTCTGCTGAATCTTTGAGTTAATGGAGAGACCTTAGGATGCATCACTATTAATCAATATTTTTTTGTTGTTTTTCTTCTTGAATTATCAGTATAATTTTGGAATGACACATTTGGTTGCTAGGAAAATATGATAGTTTTTTAAGTATCTTTGTGGCAAAAGAAGGAAAAATAATCTTTTACACACTGTAGTATTGGTAAGGCAAATGCTGGTTATATAACTTTCCTGGTACCAGGAACAGACAGAAGTTTATCCTATGAGTATTCATAAAAAGAACCCTGTCTGAGGCCTTGATGATATCTTTAATGACATTCATAAGAGATACAATACTCCGTTGCATGAGGCTCATTTTATTATTATTATTATCATCCCGACATATAAGCTAATGATTTAACACTGATGTATAATTGTATGACTGTGATAGATATGATTTGATCATAGGTAATGTTTGGTTATATTTATTTATTGGCCCAAGCACAGATATTTTTAAGATTTATTTATTTATTTGAAAGAGTTACAGAGAGGGAAAAGAGAGAGAAAGAGAAAGAGATTCCATCTTCTCGTTCTCTCCCCAAATGGCTACAATGGCCTGAGGCTGGGCCAGGCTGAAGCCAGGAGCCGGGAGCTTTTTCTGGATCTCCCACATGGGTGCAGGGGCCCAAGGACTTCGACCATCTTCCACTGCTTTCCCAAGCCATTAGCAGGGAGCTGGATTGGAAGCAAAGCAGCCAGGACTTGAACTGGCATCCACATGGGATGCTGGCACTGCAGATGGCAGCTTAGCACAGATTCTTCATTGGGGATGGAGGTGGTTATTTTGGAGGAAGGGGAATTAGCCAGTCTTGGATTTGGTTTATTTTTAACTATTACATTTAAGTTGATACATTTCAAACAATATTATAAGAGGGTATGCGTAATAAGCATGAAGATTTTTGTGGCTTTTTTTTTAAACTATAAATTCATAAAAAATGATGGCAAAAACTTCACCCAACCACAAAATCTTTTTATATCTGTTTCCCAGTTCTTGGTGCACAGCAACAGTGCTTTTTATCAATCGTTTATCTGTTTTCATTATTTGGAGAAAAAGATTAAAATAGTTTTTCACAAAATAACCCTGAAGATATGTTTTCTCCTTGAGTCCCAGTCACCATTGTCCCCCTCTAGCATCCCTCTGATTTGTTGTCCTGTTTCTCACTGTTGAGAATCACTGAATCACAAGAGTGCATGTTACTGCCCTGTGGGATGGTTTTTTTTTTGTTGTTTTTTGTTTTTTGTTTTTTTTTTTTTTTTTGACAGGCAGAGTGGACAGTGTGAGAGAGAGACAGAAAGGTATTCCTTTTTCTGTTGGTTCACCCCCAATGGCTGCTGCGGCCAGCACACCACGCTGATCTGAAGCCAGGAGCCAGGTGCCTCTCCTGGTCTCCCATGTGGGTGCAGGGCCCAAACACTTGGGCTGTCCTCCACTGCCTTCCCGGGCCACAGCAGAGAGCTGGCCTGGAAGAGGAGCAACCGGGACAGAATCCTGCTCCCCGACTGGGACTAGAACTTGGTGTGCAGGCGGAGGATTAGCCTAGTGAGCCGTGGCGCTGGCCTGGGATGTTTTTTCTGTCACAACTGGAGTCTTTATAAAGATTAGACACCCAAGGGTTCAAGGTTGTATTCTGGGAGAAAACCGGCAGGTATAGATGGTTAGAGTATCTGATTTAAGAACAAATCTATTTGTTTGTCAAAGGCATTGGGTAACTTTAAGCTTTAAAACTAAGAAGTAAACAGCTTAACCAGAACTTCTGCCAGAAGATAGTAAGATTGCTATTCTATACTGTGTGTCCAGGCACAGACTCAGAATGGTGTCCAGAAATATTTTAAAATTTAAAGGCATATAGTGGTCCTTACCATGAGCTACAAACTTGAGGTAGTTTGTAGTTTCAACATGTTAGATTGAGCTACATTCCTGTGCATGATGTCATATCTTTTGAAGCTGAACTTTTGATCCCTGTTGTGATAAAAAGGAAGTACCACAAGAAAATAATTGTGTAAGAGGAAATGAAGGTGGCAGGGTCCAATCTAAATTCAGTATTTGAGAAATTGTACAGTGCCTACTAGACACATGCATCCCCTTAATAAGTAACCATGTTGTGTTTTAAGAATGAAATAAAATATTTGCCTTTCATTTTGGGTATTTTTCCTTGTATGATTTTTAAATTATTTGAACACAACTATTTAGTGGACAGCACTATTTTTTTTTGTTTGTTTTGTTTTGTTTTTCTTGTTACTATTTTTTTTTTGGTTTTGTTTTAAACATTAGGAACACTGTGAACTGAGAAAGTTAGGGATTTCTGTTAGACTTTTGTAGTACTCCAGGTTTGGCAGTTGGCAGTAGAGTCCAATTTAGTATTTAGAACTTTATTCTCAGATTTTCAGCATTTAATCTATTCATCACCTTACTTTAATTTAATGAGAGGGATGTCTTTCTGGCATTTCCTGCAAGCATAAAGAATGCTTCCTTGCCTCCCAAGATAATTCATTATGTAGGTATATTTAATCATACCTAAGAAAGATAAACTACTATTGTGAAATGCTATGTAATTTTATGGCAATTCACCAAATTAATACTCATGCATATTAAGCCATATTTAGACAACATTTCTTTTAAAGGCAAATCCTGTTTTGCTTTGTTTTTTAAAATAGATGTTATCTTAAATATATTCTTGGATGGAAAAATCAAAACAGGTTATAAAGGTTATTGTCTCTCAGAATGCTTCCCCTTAATGGCACTTGACAGCAGTTAAAATGATCCCAGGATTGAGATAAATGTGTGTATTTTCTTTTCCCATTTTGTTCCACAACCTTTCAGTTTTTGATACTTGAGATCTAATGAGAAACAAGGTGTTATAATGGAAAGAGCAATAGGAACAGAAGAAACCTGTATCTCCTGTGATATGACAAGTGAATTGAAGAGGAAGTGGATTAAGTGTGCTTGACACATAAAGAAGTAAAAAGATTACAGTCTGAATAAAATCATAAATTGTGTTTTTTTACTGGTTGATATTAGAGCAAAGAAGAAAGAAAATTAGCATAATGATTAAAACTGAGAGCTTAATAGAAACAAACTGAGTATGATTACAAATTTTAAAAAGTAATAAGAAAATAGGTCAGAATTACTGAAGAAAACGTGAATCTGAAAATTAACTTTGGAAAACTCAGAACTCTTTACTCTCAGTCTTGAAAGGGCAAATAGATTGTAGTGCCTAGGGAGTCTAAATAACAATAAAACCAGTGCAAACTAGTAGTGAAACAAGCTTAGAAAGTAGTTAAAGGATTAATGATATCCTAAAAATTGGTGAAGGAAATATTCTTGCTATGAAAATAAAAGAGGAAATGAAAGTAATTGCATAGGAAACTAGTTAAGGGATTGTTTAGCTTCAATAAAATCTGCAAAAGAAATGTTAAATTTTTGTTTTGTGTTTTGCTTTTCTTGGCATTGTATTAATTTAAATGCAAGGAATCTGGAAAATACTGGTAAGATGAGTTATTGCTTGATTCTTACATTGAAATATTAGCCAAAAACCCTAATTGTATTTAAACTAATGAAAAGAGTACTTTTTAAAAAGTATTTATTTATTTATTTTGAAAGTCAGTTAGAGAGAGAGGGGTTGTGGAGCGGCGTCAATCTTCTCCATCTGTTGGTTCACTCACCAGATAGCTACAACGGCCACCTCTGGGTCAGGCCAAAACCAGGAGCCAGGAGCCTCTTCTGGATCCTCCACATGGGTGGCAGGGGCCCTAACATGGGCCATAATCTGTTGCTTTCCCAAGCCATTAGCAGGGAACTGGGTTGGAAATGAAGCAGTGGGACTCATATGGGATGCTGGCGTTGCAAGTGGCTGCTTTACCTGCTACCCCACAACACCAATCCCTGAGAAGAGTAATTTATAAATTTCCAAGATATATACTTTTATATATATATATATATATATATATATATATATAGTCTTTTTTCTGTCTTTCTTACTAGTTCAATTGCATGAGTGTAACTGAACCAATGGGAAATACTAAATACTTTGTCTTCAAATGGAAAATGGAACCAAGGTCATAGTAGAAACTAAATGGGTGCACAAGCCTCTAACAAAACATAAATTAATACCATTATAACAGTAGCTCTACTACAATTTCTGTCCTTTATAAATTGTCTAAGAAGTACCCAATAGATTATAAACTTTGCATTTTTTACCTTTCTCCTTTTTTTTTTTTTTTTTTTTTAAGATTTTATTTTCTTTATTTGAGAGGTAGAGTCACAGACATAGAGAGGGAGAGACAGACAGATCTTCCATCCTCTGGTTCACTGCCCCAAATGCCCACAATGGCTGCGGCTGGGCCAATCTGAAGCCAGGAGCCTGGAGCTTCTTCTAGGTCTTCCACATGGGTGCAGGGGCCGGAGTACTGGGCCGTCTTGTACTGATTTCCCAGGCCGTAGCAGAGTGCTGAATCTGAAGAGGAGCAGCCAGGACACAACCAGCATCCATATGGGATGCTAGTGCCATAAGCGGAGGCTTAGCCTACTACACCACAGTGCTGGCCCTTAAACTTTACATTTTGACTACAGAATGCCAATTGTATGTCTGTATTTCAAAACTAACTCTCTTTCTCATAGGCTGAAAAAGAAAATCCAGGTCTCACACAAGACATCATTATGAAAATTCTAGAGAAAAAAAGTGTAGAAGTTAACTTCACTGAATCCCTTCTTCGAATGGCAGCTGATGACGTAGAAGGTATCACAGAAGAAAGAACATTGCTTGGTTTTATTTGGCAAAGTCTTCCCTTCTTTCTTTATTCTTTTTTATTGTGATTATGATGGAAACAAATTATATAAATTGATAATTGTTTTTATTTTATATTTGTCAGATTTAATTACTTAAAGTAGTTATACTGCATGTTCTTACTTTTTTCCCTACTGGTAAAATGTTTTGCAGTTCCAGTTTTACCAAAAGAGGAGCTCTATGGAATGGTTATTTTTTTCTTTCAAGCACAGATTTGGGAAAGCAATATAATAATCATTTTTGACTGCTTTTCTCCTTTTTCTCTGCCTTTTATGAGTTTCACTTAAAATAGTTGCCATTTTCCCACTAGTTAAAAAAATGTAGAGGTATAGTTACTCAGTTTATTTATTAAGGGAAAACAGAAAGTTGCTATTTCAACTGAGTCTTAAGATTTCTAAGATGGCCCTCATTGTTATTTAGACTGTTAGCCCATAACATATTGATGAATTGGTAGAGTTGTAATACATCCCAGTCTACAATGTACCACTTGGTGAGTTATTTTGCCTCTGCCTTGTGTGATCAAACTTCCTTTTCAAAAGTACTCTACTGTGATCCCAGCATTTTGTTAGATATCTGGTGGCATTTTAAAAATTGAGCTATTTATTTAAGAGACACAGGAAAAGAGCATCCTATCTAGTGTTCGAACTCCCTAAATGCCTGCAGCATCCGGCCAGGGGTAGGTTCTGCATATTAGCAAGAAGCTGGAATCGGGTCCTAGCTAGAGCTGGGTGTTAAACTTTGGTATTCCAATATGGGATGTGGCCTTCTCAACCACTAGGCTACCCATCTTCCTCATGTTTTGAAGTGAGATTCCAAGAATATTCTAAATATTTTTGTAAGTTGTTTGAGGTTCTGAACCAGTTTACATACAGTGTATGAGTTTTGGTTATTAAACTCCCTTTTCCCATTTGCAGACATAAAAGGGTGCTTCAGAATGTTCATGGAAAATGAAATTAAAACTATTAGTTTATTTTGGTACAGAGCAATATTTTGGTGAAAAATTTTTTTTCATAATATGTGAGAAGTGTATTATGAAAAACTTTTGCATGGATTTCAAAATTTTTTGACACCAAAATAAACTCATACTTTTTATTTTTTTGACAGGCAGAGTGGACAGTGAGAGAGAGAGACAGAGAGAAAGATCTTCCTTTGCCGTTGGTTCACCCTCCAATGGCCGCTGCGGCCGGCGCACCGCGCTGATCCGATGGCAGGAGCCAGGAGCCAGGTGCTTTTCCTGGTCTCCCATGGGGTGCAGGGCCCAAGCACCTGGGCCATCCTCCACTGCACTCCCTGGCCACAGCAGAGGGCTGGCCTGGAAGAGGGGCAACCGGGACAGAATCCGGCGCCCCGACCGGGACTAGAACCCGGTGTGCCGGCGCCGCTAGGCGGAGGATTAGCCTAGTGAGCCGCGGCGCTGGCCCTAAACTCATACTTTTAACACTAGTTTTCCACAAACTTTTTGAAGTGTTCTTGTATATAAGCTTTGCATAATTTATGAATGTCCCTAATTATTTTAAGGTTTCTTTGTGAAATGTAGCTCCAGCACACTAATGAACTTTTTAAACTTCCCTTTCTAATTCATATTTTAGAATATTGTGAAATTTATTTACTTCAAAGTGAAAATGTTTAGTTTCTGATCTGATACTTTTAAGTGGAGTGAGCATTAATGTTTCTGGACTAAGTTGAGCTCTAATACATTCTGCTTTACAAGCCTTGTCTTTCCTAATCATCTAACTTTTTTCCTTCTTACCTTCCTTTGACCAGTGGTTGGGAATTCTTGCAGTAGACCTGCAGGGAAGTTCATGGTGGTTTTTATTATCTGTCTGTTTTATCAGAGTACATGATTGAACGACCAGAGGCAGAATTCCAGGACCTAAATGAAAAGGCACGGGCACTTAAACAGATTCTCAGTAAGATCCCAGATGAGATCAATGATAGAGTGAGGTTTCTGCAGACAATCAAGTAAGTGATTTTCTTTTTTTTTTTATCTTTCTCTCTCTCTCTCTCTCTCTCTCTTTTTTTTTTTTTTTTTTGAGTCTTCTTTTCTTAAAAGTATATCAAAAGTACCACTTATTCTAGATGTTTTGATTTTGGTATGATATTGATTTGAAATAAAATTTGAAGTTCTAAGCTATGGCTTTTTGCTGCAGAGTACAATAACAGTTTTTAGAATGTTCAATTTAACAATAGAAATGAATGAAATGTGCATAAACCAATATATAGTTTGAACTGTGTGAATAATGGAAAAATATAATTGTCAAGTTAAAATGAGCAGCGAGATTAGATAAATCTAGAGAGATTGGTAATGAGATAGCAAAATTGTTTTTATTTAAGAAATTGCATAAAGTAATATACTCCTGAAGGCAACTTAGCTTATTCTAAATTTTGAACCTCCAGATCCTTGCCTTTGAAGTAAATAAGATTCATACTGTGCATGGGGCCAGGAGGCTGGCTGCTGAGCAGTAATTAAGAGGGGTCATCTTAGAGTAGTGTTTCTCAGCCCAGACACAGTCTCCTCTGGGCTACAGTGTGTCAGAGGGGACTCCAGACATAGTACTTTTACTGCATAAATATCTTTAAACCAGAGTCTGGTAATTTTTTTTTTAGCCTCAGTGGAAAAATAAAACAAGCTGGGAATGATTATACTGTCACTGTCAATACAACATTTTGATAAAACTGTAGCTAGAAATTTCTAGAAAGGAAAGGTTAGCACAGGTCTTTTTCTGAAAGAGGCTGCATTGTATGTGTTAACTTTCAGGAACCTAAGGAGTTTCATTTGGAAAAAAATTAACATTTGTTTTTCAGAAATAGAATTCTTTGTAATTCACATTGGGAAATGTTATTTTAGCTACTGAGGATGTCTGTTTTGCATTGTATAAGGAGTGGAAGCTGTCCCATTTTAGAAAATAAGGGTTCATGGTACATATCCAACTCAAGGAACAGCTCTCCTCCTCTTTGGCAGTAATTGAAGATCAGGAAAATAAAAAGCCTTTAAATAGCCAAAATCTGTGTCACAAGGGACAGTTACTAAGGGCCTTAAAGTTTACCTTTATAGGAAAGCTCCAGCTTCCTTTAGCTATTTTTAATATGAGAAAAGGGAAGATCATCAACTGCTTATGCAGTGTTCTTTTTCATCTAGTATAGTTAAAGTAAAGATGATTGGCCCATAAAAGAATAAATTGCCAGTGATCCCACTTTGTTATTATTTGGTTGTTTAGACAGTTTGTTTCTAGAGTTTCAGTTCATTTGATATGTTTCACCTATTTTGATAATCATATTTGTATGAATCATGCTACATATCTATAAATATTCTCAGGATAGTTATTTGGTGCAGCTGCTGTTGCTTGGGATGCCTGCACCCCATATCTAAGTGCCTAGATTCTCATCCCAGCTTTGCTTCCAATTCTAATTTCACGCTAATGCATACACTGGAACGTAGCAGGTGATGGCTCTAAGTACTTGGGTTCCTGCCACCCCCATGAAACAACCACATAGATTTGGTCTGGCCTGGCCCATGCTGCTAGGTGCATTTGGAGCCAGCAGATAGATCTCTCTTTCCCTCTCTGCCTTTCAGATAAATAGATAAATAATTTCAGCAGAGTTTGCTTGAGGTCACTGAAGTAGAGTTTTGTAGAATCAGTATAATCTTAATAATAATAGCAGTCACTTATAGCAGCTATTATATGCTAAGCACACCACTCTTTTTAGTACTTTATTAATGTAAACTGCTGTAACAGTTGAGAAAATGGAGGTACAAGAAATTAGGGAACCTTCCCAAGATCACAGAACTAGAAAGTTGTGGATAGATACGAACCCCATGCATTCTTTGCTAGGGTCTTCTCTGCTACTTCCCAATCATGAATTTATAATGACTAATGCGGAGAGTGAAAAAGTTTGAAAGAACTGTGGTAAAGGACATCTTATTTTTAGCACAGTGCCATTTAAAAGAGAGATGAGTATTGTGCTTGAAGCTGGGATAGAAATGGTAGGCCCATACCTTTATCCTAATACTGTACCACTCTCTTTCCCCCTAGTAAGTCTCTAGACATTTCTGCAAAACTCTGGGTAGCTGCAAGGTTATTAGAGTTTAAAAACTGTGTTCTTGGGGCCAGCATGTCGTGCAGCCTCTGCTCGTGGATGCCAACATCTCCCCTGTCTGAGTGTCTGAGTCCCAGCTGGTCTACTTCCAATGCTGCTTTCTGCTAATGTACCTGGGAAGTTAGCAGAAGATGCCCCAAGTACTTTGGCCTTTGACACCTGTGTGGAAGACCAGGATGGAATTCTTCACTCCTGGCTTCAGCCTGGCCCAGACCTGGCTTTTGTAGCCATTTGGGGAGTGAACCAGCAGATAGATCTCTCCTCCCCTCCTTCTGTTGCTCTTTCAAATAAATAAATGAGTCTTTGAAAAATGAAAACCATGTTCTTAACAGCCACTTAGTCATTAATAAAGGCTTTATTGGGGCTTGTCTCATATATGGGGAAATAGTAGAAATATCTCAGTTGTGTTTTCTGGAGTCTACTCAGCACAACTGAAATAAGGGTAATGGTGATGAAAATTTGTTTTCTATCTTAGAAGGGATAATTTGGTCAGTGTGTTGTGTATATTATTTCTTTTGTGTGTGTGTGTATATTATTTCTGAGAGTAAAATTTCAGCCATGTATAAATAGTATAGATGGCTAAGGTATAATTATTTCTATCATTGTGATATATATTAATATATTCTATACATGTTTTTATCACCATTAATTGTTTGGGAAATTAGTGGATAAAATTACACCAAAATATAAAATGACTTGTCTTTCAGGCTCACCATATTTTATTGTACTATTTTGCTTCAATCATATTTTGATTCCTCATATGAGAGTACTTCAAAATGTTAATTGAGACTGGAATTAAATGATAAATTTAAGTATAAGCATTTGATGTAGCAGTTAAATCGCATCCCATTATTGGAGTTTCTGGATTCAAGTCCCAGCTCTGCCTCCCATCCAGCTTCCTGCTAATGTGCATCCTGGGAGGTAGTAGGTGGTGACTGACGTCCTTGGGTCCCTGTCGCTTATGCAGGAGTCTAGATGGAATTCTAGGCTTCAGCTTGGTCTAGCCCTGGCTGGCCAGAGGCATTTGGGGAATGAACCAGCAAATGGAAGATCTAGTGTGCGCATGCATATTCATTCATTTTCTCTCTCGCTCTCTTTAAGTTTCCTTTTTACAGTTTATTTTGGAGCCATTATTTTGAAATCCATACAGTTGTTTTTTATATATGGATTTCCTATAAATTTTTTTCAGACTGCCTCTATCCATGAATTTCCAAAATGTTTTGCACTAAAGTAAACTTTGCTTTCATTTCCCTTTTCTGTGAACTTTTTGAAGTTCTCTCACATTGAGATACCTTCTTCATTTATTTTAGCAACGTTTTTCAGTAAGCATATATCATACATTTACTACACCACGTATTAACCGGTGACACTGCAGGTTTTATTAAAGCAATAAAAACATTCTTGGCAGATAATAAATATTCACTTTTTTGATATCTTTATCAGACTTAAGTTTGGATTTTCAGGGCTGGTGCTGTGGCATAGTAGGCTAAGCATCTGCCTTCAGTGATGACATCCCATATGGGCTCTGGTATGTGTCCTGGCTGCTCCTCTTCTGATCCATTTCTCTGCTAATGGCCTGGGAAAGCAGTGGAAGATGGCCCAACTACTTGGGCCCCTGATCCCATGTGGGAGACCTGGAAGTACCTCCTGGCTCCTGGCTTCAGATTGACCCAGCTCTGGCCTTTGTGGCCTCTCTCTCTCTCTCACTCTACCTCTCAAATAAATAAATAAATAAAAATCCTTTTTAAAAATTTTTTGAATTTCCATTCCAATATTTAGCTGTGTGGCCTTGGATATAGTTGCTTTGCTTCTAACATTCTATTTCTGCATCTGAAAGTAAGGGGCATTACTTGGGAGAATTGAAATGATGCATAAAGACCAGCACAGACTCTAACAGACTTACAGCACATCTAGCACTATGAATTAATATATTTGAGTAATGAATGTTTGCTTGACTACAGCTAAGCTGTGCACATGTTTTATTAAATTGTTTTAAGTTTAATATGTTCCAATTAGTGGTGACCAGTGAACACTGGTTGCTTAATAGATTAAAAAAGCCCTGGATTTATATGTTTATTCTTTGCAGTCTACATTTGTATATTTGGCCAGATTTCACCGGTTTGTTTGAAGTAAGGCATTTTCTTCATGGCTTCAGAATTTCTTCCAGAACTGTCCATTCTAGACCAAAGAGCATGGAAAAGAAGGACAGATTTTAGTAGCGTGGTTAAAATTTTTACTTTTCCATGCAGTTTTTTATGAGATGTATGTTTACAGTTTCTCTGATGCCTGTTTTTTTCACTGTATGTTTTCCAAAAGTTGCCCTACTGTATAGCTGCAAATTACTAAATTTCTTTTCATTCTGCTCATACTGTCTGTTGCTTATCACAGAATCCATCTGCTCCAAACTGTACGTAATTACATGATAGTTATTTTACCCTGTTCTTTATCTGGTTAATTGTCTGAAGTGTGTGTGTGTGTGTGTGTGTGTGTGTATGCAAGCGCTAGAGTTTTCTTTTGTAGGAAATAAACTCAGGTAATTAATGTCATTTAGCTTCCCTTGTGCAGACCTTGGTGCAATAAATAAATGTTTTTCTGTATACATACAGATACCATAATATTTGGTATAAATTATTGCAGATTATTTTTAGAGAATATTTTTCAGCATTTTAATGTTAACATTCCAAATAGTAGGCCAGGCTTAGGGAAAAATAACTTTGGTCAATAGAATATTTTTATAAATTCCTTTGCCAAGAAAGCATCAAATCGAAGCTCTGGGTTCCTAAACAGCAGTAGTTTTTCAACCCTGGCTCATCAACAGAATGATTTAAGAATTTTGGTGTTTTTCTCCTCCTCTTTTATTAAAAGTACAGAGTTTTAATACTTAGTAGGAGATCTGGGATAGGGTCTAGCAAGTTCCCTCCTTTTCCACCCTCTGCCTGTTTTCTTCCTTTCAAGGGAGTTAAACAACATCTTTCAGAACTACTCCTTTGATTTCTAGAATCCAGCCATTGTCAGTGTATGTGGAGTACATGTTCATCTCGTTGATTAGCCTGCAGCCACATTTTTATAATCTCTTTTTAGCAGAATGTTGAAATGTACTTTACTATGAGGCTGTGTATAAACAGCTTACTTGTCTGATCGGTGTGTAATTTTGGTTCCATTGTATTCCATTTTAAATAGCCTTGTTGTGGATTGGGAGAACCTTGTGTATTCAGAGATTTGATATTTTTTATTTGTTGAAATCATAGGTTTTTCTCAGATAATAGGATAGTTGTATTGACACCATTATATTAAATAATAATGGATTGATGTCCATCACAGCAATGCAGAGAATTCAGCTTGCTTGAAGAGAACAATAATGTAATTTATAGACTGCTGTTACCAAACTAAAAGCAAAAAAAAAAAAAACCTAAATGGACAAGGTAGTATATCTGTAAAATTTATTACACTACCCCAATATGTGATATTTTAATATTTCAGCTTAATATCAATGTTTGACTTGCTATTGCTAGAAAAATAGAGGTACTAAGTAAATATTCATTGAAATATTTAATGAAAATGTCATTACTTCATAGTAGGCTAAAATATTAGTTTTTAAGTACCAAATGTTGTAAGGCCTGTAATTCTTAGAGTTTCTACCTGTTTATTTACTGGAAAAATATGCTGGGAAACACATATACAGACACACACAGAATTCTGAGGATTGAGTATATTTTTCTTCACATAAAGCTGAAATTCTTTTGGTATGAAATTACTGCAATCCTGGGCCAGTGCTGTGGCACAGGTTAATCCTCTGCCTGTAGTGCTGGCATCCCATATGGGCTCCTGTTCAGGTCCGGGCTGCTCCTCTTCTGATCCAGCTCTCTGCTATGGCCTGGGAAAGCAGTAGAAGATGGCCCAAATGCCTGGGCCCCTGCACCCACATGGGAGACTGGCCTGGCGGGGAGCTTGCTTCTGGCTCCTGGCTTTAAAGTATTGGCCCAGCTCTGGCCATTGCAGCCATTTGGGGAGTGAACCAGCAGATGAAAGATCTTTGTCACTCCTTCTCACTCTCTGTAATGTAACTCTACCTCTCAAATAAATAAATAAAATCTTGAAAAAAGAAAAAAATATTTCAATCTAATATTTGTGATTAAAATGTCAGTAATAAAAGGTTATGTTTGAATTGGTCTAGATTTATATCTTGTTAACTCATGTCTTTACATTCACATTGCATTTGGACAGCAGAAGTTTTTGGAATGACTTAACAGACAAGAGAATAGATGTGAAAAAAAGAAAACTTGCTTAAGAGTCTGTGAGGCTATTTGAGACTGGAGGTTGACATAAAGTTCAGTTTGACAGAAAAAAACAATTGCTCTGAAGTTTAAATGTGGAAATTCAAAGGGGCATAGGTAGACAAAGCTTTAGAAAATGATGCATCTATAGGAAGAATAGTCAACTAAATGAAGAAATTGATTTTACTGCTTTCTCTCTTTAGAACGGGGAGGAAAGTGTTGATGGACTTGGATTTGTAGGTAAAGGATAATTGCTTAAAAGGTTAGGTGGAACACTATCTGATACTGTCTCTCCAAGTAATTTAAATAACATTTTAAAGGAAGTGGTGACAGCAGAGGGTTGGAAGAGGAAAATACTTAGTTGTTAGATAAGTGGTAAATGTGTCTGAGAGAAATGAGGAGGAGGAATGTTGCCTCCGAGGTGAGGAATGTTTCAGGAGAAAATATTTTAAACTTCAGGACAATCAGGTATATGCTTGTCACGTTGGGAAACACAGAAATTACTTATATGTGTTAGAAACTGTCATAAACATTGTTCTTGGAGATAGCATACGTGGAAAAACCCAGTGTCTTAAATTCACTTATAGTAGCCCAAGGGGGGAAAAATCTAAAACTAGAAAAGACAGGAAAACATAGGTGTGATTACCTTCTTACACTGTCAGGTAAGTAAGTAATGCTGTGTTTAAAGTTGATGATTTGGTGTTGGTTGGCAGTATTTAGTCAGCAGTGCAAGAGAATCAGGATCAGGAAAGTGCAGGCTGCAACCCCCATTCCCAGCAGCTAGTCAGATGTGGGCTCTTGCTGAAGTGGACGTATGATAAAAAAGAGTGCATTCTGATTAGTAGTTCCTATACTCACACAAACGCATCTGCTCACAGGTTTCTTTCAAATGTAGCTGATGTTAAAAATATTGTTTTCCTTTGCCAACAGGGACATAGCTAGTGCAATAAAGGAACTTCTTGATACAGTGAATAATGTCTTCAAGAAATATCAATACCAGAACCGCAGGGTAAGTTTAGTAGAAATCTTGCTAGTTGCCACCCTAGTTGCTGGCTTAGACTTAGGGTTTTTTTTTTTTTTTTAATTGATTTGAACATTAACAGGGTTTGATTATTGGAAATGATTTTATCATTTTGTGTAATTAACTCTTGGGTTTGTCCTTGAGTTTAAGTATTCTGTTTCATGTGTTAAAAGAGATAGTCTTAAAAATGCTTACCTGTAAAACAAAGTTCATCCTTTATTCTTTGTAATTTCCTATCTTTGTCTTTTGTGATATTTTTCCTACTTAATATTTCTTAAAATTATTTTTCATTTCTGTAGGCACTTGAACACCAAAAGAAAGAATTTGTAAAGTACTCCAAAAGTTTCAGTGATACTCTGAAAACGTATTTTAAAGATGGCAAGTGAGTAACAGCATTTATCCTTTTCTTTTAAATGGAGGATGTGGCTTTACATGATAATAAACTCTTACTATGTTAATACTCAAGGCAACTGGTAGTGAAAGCCAACTGTTAAAGATAGAGAATGAGTAGTTGCTAATCCAATTATAAGTAGTCTAGAGCAGTTGTTACTTTTCCTTAAAAGAACCAGAGATTGAATATTCTAGATGCGCTGGCCCTGTGTCAATGATTGCTTCACCTTTGCTGTTGTAGCGCAAGAGCAGCCAAAGATAATGTGGAAACAAATGGATGTGGCTTTGTTCTAATAAAACTTTATGTATAGTTAATGGAGCATTATAATTTTCACCTGTCACGTAATAGCCTCCTTTTAATTTTTTGTGCTTGTTTTTTGGTAACCAATTAAAAATGTGAAAGCATTCTTAGTTTTCTGACCTATTTTATCAACCCCTGAAGCAGTGATATTTAGACTTCAGTGACATCTGATTCAGTAGCTCTGGGGTAGAACCCAAGAGTTTTCATTTCAAAGAAGTTTTCAGGTGATACTGCACTTGCAGGTCTGTTGAGAACTGCACCAAAGTCAAAGCAGTGGTTTTCAGTCCTGTCTGTATGTTAAGAGTTGCTTGGAGTCAGTTTTAAAAATCATTGCGTAGCCTCCACTTTCAGAGATTTTGATTCCATCAGCTTGGAGTTGTAGGCCAGGATTTAGGTGATTTGGAAAAGCACTCCAGGTGATGTTTAATTGCTGGAACGATTGTGATCCACTGTCCTGGAAGGTGGGGAGCTTAAATTGGCTTTCATGGTACCATATATTAAAAATGTAAATTAGACATTAATTTTAGCATTAACATACAATTGGTTGCTGACACTGTAGAAAACCAAGAAATTTTATGTGTTTCCAGATATTTGCTTCTGCATACATGTAATGCATGCTTAGATGAAGAGGGCATGGCATGTCATCTGCAGTACTGTATGACAGGATGTTCATGCTAGGAATTTTGTAGACAGCACTAACTGCTTACATTCAGAATAATGATCTAAATAAGGGCTTCAAACATGCTATCCTACCAGTGAGGTTTTAGGTTTCCTATAAAGGTCCCACTATTACAGTAATAACATTTAAAAACAATATGTTAGGATTCTACTAATATTCAGAGTCAATTTTAACAATTCACAGATTGAAATATTTACATTTATGTTATGAATTAAAGATATTGAGATATTTTATTAGTGGTTTTATTTTATTTTGTATAAATTTATAAGGAAAATGCACCATAGTAGCTTAGTTAGAAAGCTAGCAGTTGTGTTCTGAAAATAAACTTTTTTGTTTCTTCTTGATCTCTTATGCTAAGTCCATATAACCAAAAACATATTAAAGGAATAACTTTCATGATGGAATCAGTGTTTCTGATTCTTACTGATTCAGATCTGTTGTGGAATAAGTGCATTGAAAGGTAGGAATTAATTTGAAGCCTAATTTTCATAAATATGAAATTGTTCATTATACACATGGAGTATTCAGGCTCCTTTGTTGCTACTTTTTCTCCATTCAGCAGCTTCTTTAATTTCCAGTTCTTTGTTAATGAATAATGTATCATGACAGCCTGATCGTTAAGCCGTCTTTCAGTTGAGGGATGGATTTGCATTGACTTCACTAATTTTTCCTGGTCCCTCCTATTTGAGAAAAATGTCTGTGATGAAGAGACAAGCTCAAGCTATGACACCAAGAAACTGATAAGGCCATACAATGGAACTAACCGATCAGCTCTGTGCCCTTGTCACGGGAAGATGGGCTATTTGAATTTGGTGGAGTATAAGACAATTTTTACGAACATATTTTTGTACATTTTCAGATACCAAATGTTAAAACTACATGATTGTTTTGGTTTAAAATAAAAGTATATTGATTCTAAAAGTAGTTTAGAATTTTCTTTTTTTTTTTTTTTTGAAAGATAGTAGCAGAGACTGGGATGAATCAAATTAGAAGTAATTTTGCCAAGAATCCATGCCTGTTGACAACTGATTTTGAGACTGACTATAATGCTTTACCAAACTTTATTTTCTTAAATTTCTATGAAACCAGCTGGAGACCATCTCTGAATCTTCCATTTGGCCATCAAAGATTTTATTTCATTAACTTCCATGAAGCTTGTCTCTTTGGCTATACCTGATTTTATTTTAACTTCTGTGAAACCACAGACCACATCTGAATCCTCCTCTTTGACCAGTCACTTGTCTGGCATGTAAAAAGAACTGTGGATATTGAGGCACCGCCTATCAGCAGCAGTCCTCCAGTGCTTTATTGCCAGCCACCACCACGAGGGGGCAGTAATTCCTAGATACAGTAGTTGTAAATGCTGCAAAACCATTACATCCAAGGTATAATAAAAGTTATAATAATGCTAATGTGTATTTTTTCCTTAATTGATTTAATCACTACTATTAGTATATGTGACATTAAGTATAAATATTTTAAAGAGGTAGATTTTTTAAATGAAATTAACACTCATTCTTTTCTTTTTAAACAGGGCAATAAATGTGTTCATAAGTGCCAACCGACTAATTCATCAAACCAACTTGATACTTCAGACCTTCAAAACTGTGGCCTGAAAGTTGTATATGTTAAGAGATGTACTTCTCAGTGGCAGTATTGAACTGCTTTATCTGTAAATTTTAAAGTTTGACTGTATAAATTATCAGTCCCTGCTGAAGGGATCGAATCCAGGATGTTGAATGGGATTATTGCCATCTTACACCATATTTTTGTAAAATGTAGCTTAACCATAATCTCACACTGAAGATTTTGCATCACTTTTGCTATTATCATTCTTTTAAGAATTATAAGCCAAAAGAATTTACGCCTTAATGTGTCATTATATAACATTCCTTAAAAGAATTGTAAATATTGGTGTTTGTTTCTGACATTTTAACTTGAAAGCGATATGCTGCAAGATAATGTATTTAACAATATTTGGTGGCAAATATCCAATAAATAGTTTACATCTGTTAAACATTTCTTTACTTGAAGAAAAATGCATATATATGTGTGTGTATATATATATATGATCAGAAGACCAAGACAACTTGGTATAATGTCTAAAGAACTTCTAAGGGGAGCTTATTAGCAGTTTATCACTTAATAAAGCAACAAGATTTCCTATTTTTTGCCCTTAATCACTTTGGGCAAAAAGTAGTCATGGAAGTATTTTTGTTAGTGATTACTACTCAATATTTTTCCATTATTTCCAACCTGTTTTAAGAAACTTCTGAGAAAGATATGGCAATGTATAGTGTCTTCACACTATGATGCCACATTTTTTTAACTCTGACAACATGGATTTGATATTTTGAACTCTGACGATGTTGATTGAGACACTGAGTCTTTTTGGTATGCTGTGTGCACAATTTTTTTTCAAAAATAGCCACAATTAATAGTAATTTGAAGTTATGCCTATAGTTGCTTTGAAATTGTCATGAGTGTCAATATTATTTACACTCTTTAATATGTACAATTTGTTTCACCATAGAGAGATTTCAAGGAAATTATGTATCAAGTATTCATGTTAAGTGATTTCATTTTTCAATTATAAAATAAAGGAAAATTCAGAATTTGTTTATCTTTCATAAAGATTTTAAATGTAAAACTAAATCTGTTGGCAATGACTTTTTTTGCTATAATGCAATTTAGTTATTTTAATTGTTTTCTCCATTTTTAAAAGTAGATTTTTATAGAATTATTATCATTGGCAACATAAAAGTGAGTCATCTGTTAAATATGAACAAGAAATATGTGGAAAGAGAAAAAAACTAATAGACAGTTGTTTGAAATTCCTTAATATATGGGTTTTTTATTGAATGGCTTTCATTTCTTCAAAGATAACTTATAAAACAAATAGAATTGATATTCTTCGGTATTTGTTTTTGGAATAAGCTATCATTCACTCTAGGAAGTAGATGGATGTTCATTTGCAGAATAGGCTTGTGAATATGTGAAGAGAAAAAGATAGTGTTTTATTTGCAGTAGGCTTTTCTAGCATAAAGAAAATACTGTCAGCATTCCTCCTGTTGTTTTTACTCTGAACAGGACTGACCAGTTAGCAGGCATGACCCAACCACTTTTGGGCTTTTCTTTTTTTTTTTTTTTAAGCTTTATTTATTTACTTGAAAATCAGAATTACAGAGAGAGAGATCTTCCATCCACTGGTTCACTCTTCAGATGGCTACAACTGCTGAAGCTGTGCTGGTCCAAAGCCAGGAGCCAGGAGCTTCTTCCAGGTCTCACATGTGTGGCAGGGGCCCATCTTCTGCTTTTCCAGGCACAATAGCAGGGAGCTGAATCAGAAGTGAAACAGCTGGGACTCTATAATTGGTGGCCATATGGGCTGCCACTGTCACAGGTGGCCAGCTTTTACCTGCTACACCACAACGCAGGCCCCAAACCACTTGTTTTTATAAACCTCTTTCATTCCATTACCCAGGATTTCTGGATTCAGTTTGCCTGAAATGTACCTCCAGAAAAGACTTAGTTTCAGAAGATTTTATATTCATGTGTGGCCCTTGTGAGATTGTCAGAGAAGTGAAAGGTAGCTCCAGGGGAAAGGAAGAAAAGGAGGTGCATTTGTTGAGCCCTTTCTGTGTTCAGCACTATTGTAGTTAGCATTTGTTTATTTATCTTAACAGTGTTATGACTTAGCTGTCTGTCCTGCAGTTGAGGTATCTAAGAGAATTTAGGATCCCCACTTAGCAACTGCTGGGACCAGGGTTTGAATTCAGTGTGTGTGTCCAGACTTCATGTTCTTTCCACCGAACCATGCTCCCTCCCATTGCTGAACATACAGCTGTGTAGGGTGCTAATTCCCACATGCCAATCTGAGAAACCTCTGCCTGGTGCTCAGGAACATGAAAAGCATGAGGATAATGTATTTTTCACAAATCTAAATTTATTCATCTTAAGAATAGTACAAAGAACATCCATATACCCTTTACCTGGATTTACCTGTTAAACTTTTAACCTTTGTTTTTTCATTTAGTTGTTTATTTGCCGCCTGCCACCACTTAAATCTCCTTTTCTTTGGATCATTTCCATGGCCACTCTTGCCTTACATGGCATTAACATGTTTTTTAAGTTTACTGTCCTGTCTCCCTCCCTGCTTTTCATGGAATTTTCCTCATTTTGGATTTCCTCATGATCAGTTTCCGGTTATGCATTCTGGGTTAGAATACGATGTCATTGATAGCAGTCGTTACAGGATGCCTTCTCAGGATGCTCAATATCCCTCTTGGTGATGTCAGTTTGGCTCACTTGGTCAAGATGATGTTTGGTTTTTCCAGGGTCTGTCTGTCTGTCTCTTCACTGTTCACTTGTTTATTTGGAACACAGAGCTACACAAAGAGGAAAAGAGACCTGTCCACTGGTTCTCTCCCCACATAGCCAAAAATGGACAGGGCAGGTCCAGGACTCCATGTGCATTTCCCACGTGGGTGGCTGGGGCCCCTATACTTGGGCCATCTTTTATTGCTTTCCCAGCCAGCAATGCAGGCAGTGACTTAACCCACTACACAGTGCAGACCCTGTAGTTACCAATTTTTACAACCAATAAGCAATTAAAACTTGAGAGATCTCCCATTCTCTGGCTCACTCCCAGAGTGCCCACAACAGCTTGAACTGAACCAGGCAAAAACCTGGAGCCAGGAACTTAATTCAAGCTTCTGTGGAAGGGCCCCAACTACTTGAGCTATCTATACCTGCTGTCCCAAGGTATGCATTAGCAGGAAGCTGTGCTACCTGGTCCTGTTAACCAGCCTTTTACCAGCTATGCCAAATACCCTTTAGTAATAAGCATTCTTAGATACATGGTAAGGTTTTCTCTCACTTTACACCAGTTGATTCTTGCTTAGTATTTAGCTTGTTAGTTGCGGCATGATTTTCCAACTCCAGCATTCCTTCCACATGTACCACTTGGTACTCCGCATTCTCCTGCAAGCAGGAGCCCTCTTTCCTGCAGTCCATTCATCCATGTATATTCACAAAAGCATGGCATCTCTTACTCTGGTAGACTTGGCATCTTGTTTTGAGCAGTGTGTTATGCCAAGGATGTTCCAGCATCTGGAATCTACAGTTTCTCTGAGGAACCCTGGGGAGTGTGGCTAGATCCCTAGATTTGGATGCTGATTTTGCTCACTCCTGAGTGTGCTACTAGGCCACTCAGCAGACAGAAAAAGGTCCCAGCGACTCTTCAGTCAAGTTGGCCAGGATCACCATTTCCTGAAAATAAACTACAAAATGCCATGTATGAAGGGACAGTTTCTTGTAAAAATGGCAGTAAAAATAAAAAATGTAAACTATTTCTCAACATAAGCTCCATATAGTTCAAGATACTTTAGTGATACCAACTACTTCATCCCTAAGGAAATGAGGTTCGTAAGAACATAACCATGTCAGTGCGGTCTTTGTTACATTAACTGAAGAAAAATGGGTTCCCTTATAAACAGTTTTTAAGATGAGGAAACAAAAGAAGGAGCTGCCAGCTTTGTGGTGCAGTGGGGTAGGCCTGTGACAACGGCATTCCATGGTGGTGTGCCGGTTCCAGTCCCAGCTGCTCCACTTCTGACCCAGCTCCCTGCTAATGTGCCTGGAAATGCAGTGGGTGATGGCTCAAGTATTTGGGCCCCAGCCACCCATGTGGGAGACACAGATGGAGTTCCAGGCTCCTGCCTTTAGCCTAGATCAGCCCCCGCCATTGTGGCCATTTAGGGAATGAACCTGCAGATGGAAGATGGATTCTCTCCCTCCTTCCTTCCCTCTCTTGGTCTACCCTTTAAATAAGTTAAGTAAATAAATATTTACCAAAAAGGTCAGAAGGCGCAAAATAAGAACTGTAAAGTGTATATTTGCATATACTCTACTATCCACGCACATACAATTTAATATGCTTGTTTACACATTACATTTTGTTTCAGAAATCATGAATTCACATCAGTACTTCCAATTCCAAGCCATCCCACAAGGTTCTTTTGTGCCTTCCCCAATCCATATTTTTCTGGCCCTCAAAATCCTGATTTCTTCCCCCAATCAGTTTATCCACTTGCACAACCCTTTTAGATATATAGCATAGTTTTAGAATTATTTTTGCCCATAGCAAGTAATTGTTGCAACTCCATCCCTACTTGCACCCTTGCCTGAGAATACTAGTTACGTTATGTGTGTGTGTGTTTTAAGATTTTGTTTATTTATTTGAGAGGTAAAGTTACAGAGAGTGAGGGAGAGAGACAGAAAGGTCTTCCGTCTACTGGTTCACTCCCCAAATGGCCACAATGGCTGGAACTGGGCTGATCCGCAGCCAGGAGCCAGGAGCTTCTTCTGGGTCTTCAGTGTGGGTGCAGGGCCCCAAGCATTAGCAGAGAACTAGATCAGAAGAGAAGAGAAGCAGCTGGGACTAGAAGCAGTGCTCATATGGGATGCTGGCACCAAAGGCAGATGATTAACCGGTGCCATAGCACCAGCCCCATGTTATGTATTTTAAAAATTTTTTTTGTCCTTTGCTGTGATTGCATTATTTATTCAAAAATAGTTGTACTTTTTGTTTTGTTTTGTTTTCAGGCTTAAGGTCCTCTCTCAACCCCCTTCCCACCTTTGTTGATTTAACTTTATTTTATTTTATTTTATTTTTATTTTTTGACAGGCAGAGTGGACAGTGAGAGAGAGAGACAGAGAGAAAGGTCTTCCTTTGCTGTTGGTTCACTCTCCACTGGCCGCCGCGGCCGGCGCGCTGCGGCCGGCGCACCACGCTGATCTGATGGCAGGAGCCAGGTGCTTATCCTGGTTTCCCATGGGGTACAGGGCCCAAGTACTTGGGCCATCCTCCACTGCACTCCCTGGCCACAGCAGAGAGCTGGCCTGGAAGAGGGGCAACTGGGACAGAATCCAGCACCCCGACCGGGACTAGAACCCGGTGTGCCTGCGCCACAAGGCAGAGGATTAGCCTAGTGAGCCAAGGCGCCGGCCGATTTA